CAAAACAAACAACACAAAACAACACAACACAAAACAAACAACACAAACAATAGAACACAAAACAAACAACACAAAACAAACAACACAAAACAACACAACTTTAACACAACTCTGGAGTTTAACAAACGGTCAGAATTTATGACAGTAAAAAACAGACAAAAGAAACCACAGCTGATAACTTACACCTCCTCCTTCTTCTGTTTCTCCTCCTTCTCTTTCTGTTTCTTCTCCTTCTCCTCCCTCTGTTTCTCCTTCCTCTCCTTCTTCTCCTGTCTGTGTTTCCTGGAAGACAAACGAGGACAAATGTCTTCGTCCCTCCAGTAACTGATAAATAGATTTTCCTCAGACTCACTCCTTCTTTTGTTTCTTGTCGCTCCTCTTCCTCCTCGTTTCCTCCTCATTGCTCCTCTTCCTCTTCGTTTCCTCCCTGCCAGGTAAAGGTAACCAACAGGAGACGGTCAGGTGAGTTCTTTGGACTCAGAACAGAACCTGTGTCTGCAGGACGAGCCCGGCCTGTTTCTGTCAGTGAAAAAGTTCTTACTCCTCTTGGTTGTTGTTGTTGTTGTTGACGTTGAAGAGAACCTCAGGTCCAGACTCCTGAGGAAACCTGGACCAGAAACCAGCAGTGGGTTTAGTTCTGATGGTTCAGGAAATGCTGGATCAGAACCAGTTGAACTGGACCTTTTGACCGAGATTAGGATGAAATTTGCTGATTTATAGGAACTCACCTGACCCGGTCTCTGATGTCATCTGGCTCCTCCCCCTCCATGTCCTGCAGGATGATGGTGGGGGGGTTGAACCCGGGCCCACGGGTCGGTACTGACGGTGCTACTCTGGCCATGTGGTTTCTGTGGGATTCCTTTGGGCAGAAACAGAGGAACACGTCATGGTCTGGTTTTGTCAGAACCTGTTCTAGTTTGGACTCCGGCAGCACATCAGACCTGGTCCAACACTTGCTGCAGGTTCTGAGTAAGGCCCGTTTTGACAGTTTAACTGAAGGTGTGGAACAGAACTCAGAACCAGCTGCTGGACGACTGGACCGTTTTCATGACCTGGACCTTTTCAGAACCACAGAACATGAGCAGTTCTAACAGTCCTGGACTCATCAGCTTCTTCCAGTTCTGGAGTTTTCCACATCAGGACATTAGACTGGGTCAGGTTCCTCCTTCAGAACCAGAACCAGGGGGTTTCTGTAAGACCTTCTTCTACCTCGTGGTTGTAGAGGAGTTCTGGCCCATTCATCTTTCCAGCGTTTCTTCACTGAGGGTTCTGCTCAGCTCTCAGCCAGGTTCAGGTTCTGGACTCTGACTGGACCATAGAAGAACCTTGGTTCTGTTCGTTGTGACCCGTTCTGTTGTAGATCAGATACAAACCATCAGCCTCCACCACCGTGCTGACATCTGGAGGAGCTGTTTGCTGCAGTGCATTCTGGGTAAACATCTGTCTTGTGCTCTGGTTCTGGTCCAGAAGTCTTGTGGATCCTTCCAGCGTCCATGTTGTTTTTAGAGTGGACTGGTCATGACCTTTGACCTTTGACCTGCTGACTGAGGCCTGTAGAGTCACTGCACGGTCTGACCTTCAGGGTGAATCAGCTGTTTAAATGCTCTCCTCTTGTGAAGAATCTTTCTGTGAATGACCTTTGACCTTGCCCAGATCGATGAGCAGCAGCTGCTCCTCTGAGGTCACTGCTGATGTCTTTCCATCTTGGTGTTGTGTTGACACACCTGGACGCTCCTGAGCAGCAGAACGAGCCGTCTAATAATCAACGACTCGGTGGAACCTGGTGTGCGTTCATCTGAGGTCCGATTTGGACCGGATGAAGACCAGACCCGTTTAGTTTCTGAGTCTGACGAAGACATCAGAACTTTGACACAACAATCGGACCTCCTAAGTTCAGGTTGTTTGTTCTTAAACGTGCAACAACCTGAGGCTGTAAACAAACACTTACTGTAAACAAACACTTACTGTAAACAAACA